TAATAAGAAATTAACAAATTCTCCTAAGATTCAAAAAAAAGTAAAATAGTACCAAAGGATTTTATTATCTTGAATATTGAAACATGAAATTCATTTAAAATACTTCAAGTTTATAAATCAATATTATAGATTTTTAATATTTTTCTTAAAAACACCAAACTCTTCATAGGTTTTTGCTTAATGCCCATTAAAGATTCATCTAAAACTTCCCAGTGTTTAAGAGGTATTAATCTTTTTGAAGGGTACTTCGAATCAGAATCAGAAGTACCTTAAACTTGTTCCTTAAACTTGAGTATGGCTGGGTGTGAAGCTTGTCTCTTTCTCCCTCTGTGGTTTGTGGTGAGTCTTGGTTTTCTTATTGAAAACCTAAGAATGGCTGTTATTCATCACCCAAATACTACAGAGCAGGCACCCTTCTCAGTGATCCATCCATATCAATTCACTTAATTCTACCATCAAACCTTTGAGTTAGGGACTACGACGTACATCCTAATCTTATAAGTGAGCAAACCCAGAGGTTAAGACATTTGCCCAAGTTCACACAATTATTTAATTATGCTTAAAGCCAGATCTCTTAACCACTGAATTTTGTGCCTGCCCATTTAATGGGTATCTGTGGAGGATTACATGAAAAATGGAACATGAGATGCTTGGCACTGTGCTTGGCACACAGGAGGCATTTGATTCAACATAACTTCCCATTGTGGCTGCATGCTGCATCTGACTGTCAATGCCTCTAAGCCTCTGACATAATGCTGTAGTGAAAACAGCTCTGGGTTAAGTCCTCATATTTAGATGGATGTTTATAGCTGTCATGCAGATGCTTCCAAATATCTACAGAGTTATTATCTAGTAGAATATTTAAAAGATGGTTTTCAGTTCCAGATAACTCCTCTGATCTCAAATTATTGTAGCTTCTAGTTCTGTGAATGAATACTCAAAAGTGGTTCCAATTTTCATTCCTAATCTGAAAATCTGGTGTCAAATGCTCCAAAATCAAAGATGATCTTGAGCGTAGACATAATGCCACCAGTGAAAAATCCCACCGGTGACCTCTTGTGATATTCACACTTTAATGCTGGCACTCTAAAATGTGTAGAATGGCCCATAGCTATGTGTTTAAGGTATGTATGAAACAGTAGGTGAATTTCATGCTAAGAGCTGCATCCTATTCTGCAACTATGTAAATATGTATATGAAACTGTTCCAAAGTGTGAAAAAGTTTTGTAATCCAAAACAGTACTATTCTCAAGGATTTTTTCACTTCTTATTGAGCTTTTGCAATTTCATACAACAGTTCTTAGTCAAATTTAGACACCCCCCCATCCATACTCCCCTACTCCCCCACAGGACCTCACGTATTTGAATAAGGGATGCTCAATCTGTACTTTCAATGTTAAACTCATATTTTGTTAATCCTCGGCAGCATTAACTTTCTTAACTTTTCTTCTCTTCAAATATATCACTTCTGTCTGTGCCTGGTCCCAGATACCGAGGTTGCAAATAAGTCATGTTATCAGCAGAATGAAGGTGGGTCCAAGTATGGATACTGTCACATAGCGAATGGAACATATATTCCCTGCAAAGCAAAGTAAGTGGTAGGGTTGTTTGGATCTTCTAGGCCCAGACATTACAATAATGGTTCATTTCTAGCCACCTATTTCATTTCATTCCTATTGAAAAGAAAGTGAATTCAGTCATTATTTGACATACATGCATTGAGTAACTACTGTGTGTTGTACTTTGGGGTAGATGCCGATTCTGAGAGGAAACCCAAAAATCATTTCCTTTTAAAAGTCCCTCGTAATAGGTGTGTCAGATCATACCAAGTACAGTTGTTAAACAGAAATGTTTGAGATCTGACACTCAACAGTGAATTGGCCTAATTGGAAATTTTCCCAATAATTTCCCAGCATTCTTTAGGTACCATTTCAACCTAGTGTTTCGCATTATGAGTCTCTGGGTAGAAATACTGATCTACCAAAAGAAATCAGTGCTGCAGAGCATGTATAAGTTGTATCAACTTGCTGTGGCATCTCATGAGGAAGGACATGCTAAGAGAAATTGTTGCCAAATCACCTTAAGAGCTCATTTTAATCTTAGTATTGATATCTAGAAAAAAATGATAAAACAACCATGCCAGATGAACTTGAGATTTTTCTGTACATTTTATTCTGCAACTTAAGATGACCTTTAAAATTCAAGTTATGTATTTTATTCATTTATTTTTAAATATTTTATTTGTTATTTTTATTTTATGTGTATGAGTGTTATGCCTGCATGTAAGTAAGTTCACTCATGTCATGCAATGCCCGCAGAGGACAGAAGAGGCTGTCGGATACCCTGGAACTGCAGTTATGGATAGTTGTTAGCTGCCATGTGGGTGCTGGTATTCAAACCTGGGTCTTCTGCAAGAACAGTGTTCTTAACGGCTGAGCCATCTCTCCAGCCCAAATTTATTTATTTTTATTTAAATGCATGAGTGTGTATCTGTGTGTGGGTATATGCGCATGTGTGTGGGTGCCAGTGGAGTACAGAGAGGGATGCAGATCTCCTGGAAATGGAGTTACAGGCAACTGTAAGCCACAGGGCGTGTGTGCTGGGAGCCAAACTCTGGTCCTCTGAAAGAGCAGCAAGTGCTCTTAACCACTGCGCCATCTCTCCAGCCCCTCAAGTTATGTAAGAATAGAATTAACTTTGAATACCTTTTCCAAATTTTATGCACATAATTTATAACAAGAGGAGAATAGTCCAAAGTTTTTCACCTGAACACTGATATTGTATTCCCAGAAAATAACCTTAACAAACATGTGCCTTTATTTAAGGCCACCTTTGTAGGCTTTAAGCCTAAGAGTCTGCTTTTCTTTCACCATTTGCCCAAACTTGGTAATGGATAAGCTATGAAAGGACCTAGAAAATGTGTTTATTTGAGCAACAATGCATTTTGCTAATGTTAGAGGTCCTATTTATGTAGAATAAGGGGTCTCTGCTACCAAGGAAATGGTAATCATTAAATACTGATAGGTCTCTGCTACAAAGGAAATAGAATCTATTAAATACTGGTAGCCGAAGGATGTTTGCATTTGTAAGAAACTGAAATTTGAAGCCTGTGACAAATTTTGTAATTTTATTTTGCCAGAGATGCCATGTGTGGGAAGTTATTCTGTGAAGGAGGGTCAGGTAATGTGCCCTGGATGGGACTCACAGTATCTTTCCTGACATGTAAAATGTTTGATCCTGAAGACACTAGTGAAGGAGTAGGTCTGGTGGCCAGTGGAACCAAGTGTGGAAATAACAAGGCAAGTTGAACTCCTGCCTTCCAAACAAATGGTGTTTCTTTATTTTATATTTTGTTGGGTTTTCTTTTCCAAGTTACTCCTGGGGGGGGATAGTTGCTTTGTTCCCCATTTATTTTGTTCATCCTGTTGCTACAACACATAGGGATTTAAAATTGGAAGTTTATGAGCAGTTTGAGAATTCAGAATGATAGAGAACCTAGAACAAACATGAAGAGGCACTGCCATGAACAGTCTTCAAATACTGATGAAATCTGGAAATGATTAATGTGTGTGTGTGTGTGTGTGTGTGTGTTTGTACAGCATGTGTGTGACTGCACTCATGCACATATGGAAGTCAGAGACACTGAGATGTCATCTTCAAAGGCTTTTCCACGTTACTTTTAGAGGCTGGTTTTCACCCTGAACCTGGAGCTTGCCATTAGGCTTGCTGGCCAATAAACCCCCAGGATTCGCTTGCCTTGGTCCCCCAGATGTATGCTGCCATATCTAGCTTTTATGTAGCGTTTGGGAATCCAGACCTAGGTCCTCATGCTTGCAGAGCAAGCACTTTACTGAGTGAGATATTTCCCCAGGCCCAGAAATAATTATCCTAGAGACAACAAGAAAGATAAAATACTGTCATGTTAGTAGCAAATAGCACGTTTGACTCTCCTAGAGGGCATCTGAAGTGCTAGGGTACAGGAAAGTGTGACTCAGTCAACACATCTGCACGTCCATCAAAGTTATGATAAAGGCACAAGTGCTGTTTGACCAGCACCACCACATGAGCTTTGATAAGGGAAGGTTCCTCTCCCGTGATAGTAGCGATAATTTATATGCTGTATTTTGATATTTGCTTGCCCCAAAAGCTGCCCTGATTTTTGTTGTAAAACTGATCCTGAAAATAGCATCTATTTACATAACTTGTTCTGGTTATCTAAATTTAAATTCATTCAAACGGACCTAAAATTATGTTTGTGGTTCAGACAGCATAGGTATAAGAAACATTTAAGAAAACATATTCAAAAGTAAAATAAGTGTTATTGGAATGCCCTGAGCAAGAGTCAAAAACATATAAATTAAGAAGCTTTAAGTGCTTCAGATTTAGTTATCGGCTTTAAGAGACACTCACCACACCAAGATCAGGAAATGCCACATAAAATAGGAAAATTGCTTTATTGGATCCTCCAGGCTTCGGACACTGATTCTTTTCTGTTTCTAGTGATGAAACAAAAGGCACTAAGACATCCTCACATGACTTCAAAAGAGTTGTGTGGTGCTTGAGCTCCAGAGGGGAGAAGGACAGTTGGATAAGGACAAGGTTTACATAGTCCCGGGTCCCCGCATGGACACTGATGAGTGTTTCCCAACCCTTAGCTTCTTATACACACTTTGCTTCTGAGATAAAGACTGGTTTGGATTTTTAAAACAGATAGCTGTTCAGATAGACCATTGATGTTCTGCATTGGTTTAACTAAGGGATTGGGATGAAGAAGAAGGTTCATTTCCCTTCCCCTTCCCTTGGCATTGACATAATAGTCATGTATATTCACCTATTCAGTGGAAGGCAATTTCATGTCTGAGCCACTTTAGACAACAGTGGCTAGCCCCCACTCACCTCCATGCACCATCTTCACACGGCCTAAGTGTCATTTTGAGGTCTGCCTGTCTTCAGTCAACACTGCTGCGTGGTGTTGCTCTACCATCCATTCATGTTGTGTCCCTTTGTCCTACTCAATTGTACCTCTCTCTCCTCAGCCAGTATCCCAGATACATTCTCGGATTTTGATTTATAATGTTTTTCTTAGCATTTCTGTAGTAACAGTCCATGTATTAGTTACTTTTTGTTCCTGTGATAAAGCACCATGACCAGAAGTGACTGATGGAAGAGTTAATGTTGGCTTATGGGCCCACAAGAAGTGTCCATAACGGTGAGGGGGCATGGCAACAGGAGCAGAAAGCTGAAAGATTACATCTTCACCCCTAACAGGAAGCAGAGAGTGTGAACTGGAAGTGGAGGCCTGGATATAAACTCTCACGGCACCCTAAGTGGCATACTTCCTGCATCAAGTCTGAATTCCAAAGGCTCCGTAACCTCCCCACACAGCACCTCCTTGTGGGGACCAAGGGTTTAAGTATGAGCCTATGAGGGTCAGGTCTCATTTAAACCACTACATTCTACTCCCTGGCCTCCATATAGGCTCATGGCCTTATCATAATGCAAAATGCATTCAGTCCACCTTCATAGTCCAGTCTCATAGTCCAGGTGTGATGGTAAATACCTTTAACCCCAGCACTTGGGAGGCAGAAGCAAGTGGATCTCTGTGAGATCAAGGCCAGCCTGGTCTACATAGCAAGTTCCAGGCCAGCTGGGGTTATAGGGAGGGACACTCTGTCTCAAAAAGATGGAAAAAAAAAAGTCCCCATATATTTTTTTTAACAGTGTTAATATTGTTTAAAAGGTCAGGGTCTCCACTGAGACTCAGGGCAGTCTCTGCGTTGCTGCCTAGAACATACCCGTCTTTCCTTGACTGGTTCCACCCCTGTGTGCAGCTCTCTTTGGCAGATGTCTCGGGATCGTCATTCAACCCAGCTTTATACAGTGGCCTCTTAGGACATCCTTACAGCAGTCCAACACTGCCACATGTTGTCTGGCCTCAGTGACTCCCTGAAATTGTGCAGGAGGAGTTCTTGAGCCTCTCTTGCATCTTTCATGTCTCCAAAGCCAGTATCACATGGATGACACCGCCAAGTTAGGTGGCCAGCTTGGGATAGACCCTCACCTTTAAACCACATGTGCAACTTTTGTAATTGAAGCAATTGCTTTCTAGGAGCCAGTACGCCTTAGCTTTCTCCTTTCACATGTTGGAAGCTTAGCAGGGTGGGGTCTTGCCCAGCAGGCACCCCGGCCCTCATTCCAGTGTGGAGCAGGAAACCTCTTCTTAATGGGACTGACCTCTTTCACAGTTATAGCCTTGGCTTTTCCAGCACATGCTTCTGCTGTAACATTAAGGTTCCTAGTGATTTTTTTCTCTCCAAACAGTATTTTGCTCCATTTTCTCTTTTTCCCCGTAGACCCAAATAGGAATATTCAATAATAACCCTGCCATAGACACAATGCGATATTGTCTTGAAATTTCCTCTGCCAAATAAATTAGTCCATTACTTTTATATTTAAACTCAGGCAAGACTTTTAGGGAACAAGCATAAGGCAGCCAGATTCTTTGACAAAGTATCAGAATATTGGCCTCTAGCCCAGTTGCTAATAGCAACCTTGTTCCCTTCTGAGGCCCCTTGAGTCAGGCCTCTGCAGTACACACTATTCTCAGTATTATTTTCTTCCAGACTGGTACTAGAATGGTCTGCTGGGTTCTACTCTTATAGCTGAGCTATAAGACATTACCATCTACCACGTGTCGAACACTTCGAATTAGGAACAGCAGCTTGAACACTTACTTCAGTGTGTTTGGATCTTCAAAGTTAAATTTTTCACACTTGTTTTAAGAGGAGACTATTTTGTTCAAATCATATGAGGAAGTTCAAATGTACAAAATACATTAGAGCAGAGCTGTTCTTGCTGAAAGGGTATGAGCACAAACTCCATGCCTGTGGCCACCTCCTGGTCTTTCTGGGAGTGCAAGGTTTGCAGTATGATTTTGCCATTTATGTGTGCACTCCTGCATCCATTCCTCCAAAGGTTTTTAACCTTTGTTGCCAAACATCGTAAATTTTCCATTTTTTTATTCTTTGAGAATTTTATACATGTATATAAAGAAATATGGTCATATATACTCATCATTTTCCCACTCCACCTCCTCCAATATCCCCTAAAAGCTCCCCCTCCTGACAACTCCTCCTCCTCTACGTTCACCTCCTTCACCTCTTGCCCCTCCTCCTCCTCCCCCTCTAACTGAATAAAATGCTTGAGTTTGAATCTTTCAATGCTTTCCAGGAATTCATAGTGCAGCTCTATCTCCTCCTCCTCCTCCCTCCTCCTCCTCCCCCATCCCCCCTCCCCTTCCTCTTCCTCCTCCTCCTTCCCCTCCTCCCCCCCCTCTTTCTTCCACCAAGTCTGGTCAGTGCTGTCCATATGTGTATGAGTATGGGACCAAACACTCAAACACTGGAAACCTACTGGTGTCCACACCTTGGAAGAAGAACAATTCTTCTTTCCTCAGTACGGGGTGGAGCCTGGGGATCATCTCCCCCATCTGCGCAGAAACATTGACTGGCTTGCTCTTGTGTGTGTCTTGTGCAAGTGACTGAACCAACTAATCACTCCTGGGCATATACCCAAAAGACTTTATATCCTACTACTGATGTGCTTAAACATCCACATTCATTACCACTGTGTTCGCAAGAACCAGAAAGTGGAATAGACCTGGCTGTCCATCAATAAATGAATGGAGAAGAAAAATGTAATACATATACAAAAAATGAAATATCACTTAGTTGTAAAGAAAAATGAGAATATGAAATTTGCAGGTAGCTGTATAGAACTGGAAAGAATTATAGGGAGTGAGACAATTTGATCCAAAAAGAAAATCTAAAATTTTAGAGCTTCAAAATTGGTAGATGCTCAATCATTGGCAGCGTCAATTTTCACCATTGTGAAAATTACAAAGAGGAAAAGAAGAATATTGTTTATTTTCCACTAGTGACTGTCACCATAGGGTTGTATGTTTTATAGGATTAGCATTTACTTCCATCATGGTTTTATTTGCATCAGGCAGCTGTTATTATGTGCATTGCCTAGTTCTGTGATGAAAGCAGTTTTAAGTATAAAACTGAAGCGATAATTAAAGGAAAGACCACAAGAAAGGAAGCAAAGGAAGGATGTTGACTTTAAAGAGCTTCTTCCAGGAGCTGGAGAGATGTCTCAGCAGTTAAGAACACTGGTACAGGACACAGGTTTTGTTCCCAGCACCCACACAGTGGCTCACAACTGTCTGTAACACCTGTTCCTGTGGGAACAGGGATCTGATGCCCTCTTCTGGACTCTGTGGGCACTGTACACACATGATTCATACCCACACAGTGGCTCACAACTGTCTGCAACACCTGTTCCTGTGGGATCTGATGCCCTCTTCTGGACTCTGTGGGCACTGTACACACATGATTCACCTACATGCAGGCAAAACACTCATACGCTTAAAAATAAAAATAAATAAAAAGAAACTCCTGAATATTTTATTACATAATAAAAATTATAGTCTGGTCTTTGTCTTTAAAAAATGCTGGGATTTTCCAAGCAATAAGATTAGTTTGATAGCAATAATATTGACTAAACTTTAAGACTAAATCCAATCAGCTATTACAGAACTGAAACCATTGGAAATGACAATCTCATTCTCATTTCCTTCGTTGTTTTTAGGTGTGCATTAACGCAGAGTGTGTGGATATGGAGAAGGTGTACAAATCAACCAATTGCTCTTCTAAGTGCAGAGGACATGCTGTGAGTTTGGAAAATAAGTGCCCCCAGCTTGTGCAACTTTATATAACTTTCGTTCAGTAGTGATGAAGCTGAAATAGTGTTTTCGGCATTTGATGGTTATTATCTGCATGTGACCCTCAGTAGCACAGAAGATGGGAAAGGGGTCACTCTCATGTCCAAATAGCTTTCATTATGAATGCATAATCCTTGGAGGACACAATAAGTCTAGCCAGGACACTCACAGGATCCTTCTTCCCCTAGGTATGTGACCACAAGCTGCAGTGTCAATGTAAGGAAGGATGGGCCCCTCCTGGCTGTGAGGACTCTGCCACAGTCTTCCGTAGGTAACACTGTACATCCAGCCTGAGAAAACTGCTTCCTTCTGCCAAACTTTTATTTGTGTTTGTTAGTTTTTTTCTTGCTGCTCTGATTAAAAATAAAACCCCCAAACAATTTAAGGACTGAAGGGTTTATTTTGGATCACAGTTTGTGGGTGCAGTCTGTTATGATGGGGAAGTCATGGTGGCAGGAGCATGAGGCAGCTGGTCACTGCATCCATGAGCAGAGAAAGATGAAGGCTGGTTCTCAACTGTCTCTTTTTGATAGCGTCTAGGACCCCAGCCCAGGGGATGGTTCTGCCTGCATTTAGGATGGGTCTTCACACCTCAATCCAGTGTAGAATATCCTTCACAGACATGCTCAGAGATTTGTCTTCTAGGTGATTCTAGATGCTGTCAAGTTCATAGTATTAACCTTCCCAGTGTTATACAGGGTTCCATTGATTCTTTCTATCTTTATGAAATTCCTTTTCTGTGCCTATTAAATATATGATATTCATTCCTAAAGTATCTTTAGTGACTTTTAAATCATATTTTCAACATCCTTATATTTTTAATCTACATACAAAAGGGTATCCTTAAACTTTACATTTGTTTTAATTTCTCATATTTTCTTGCTCTGCGATTTTTTTTTCCATTTCCACAGCAGACTCAACATTTAGTCATATGAACTCATGAAGCTCTCTGAGAATATGACTTAGATGATTTTTGGAGGTTTGGGTTCTATTTCCTAAATTATCTCCTACCATTCTGTCTATTCATGTTAATTATATTTCATTGTGCTGTTTTTCTTCAGGATGTGTGCTCATTGTTGAACAAGGGGCTTGACTGATTCCAATCAACTCACGTGGATTTTAATTGCAGTTTTGGGGTATTCCTTGCTCCTACTGATACCTCTCTTGATAGGAGATCTGGCTCTGAGCTCTGTAGGCAGGCATCCCTATAGGTCATCAACGAGAAGGAGCCAGAGTGGTGACCTTTGCTTCTAGTTGCCATGGGGAAGAGCAATCCATACTGAGGAGAAAGCTCTTGTGGCATTTCCTCAATGCCCCTCTTGATCCCCCTCTGTTTGGTTCAGGTTGGAGTTTAATATAGTCCCGTCCAAGGACCCACACTCTGCAGACTCTTATTCTCTACTCTTTGGCCACTTGTGTCCTTTTGTGTTTCTGGCCCTCTATTGCGTGAGGGCTCTTTGTTGATGAGAGTTGAGAGATATATTAGTGTTCTCTTCATCCCTGCTCCACTGTGTTCTCTGAGCCTTAGGTGTAGAGGTTCCATTGACAATGTGTCACTTAGAGTTGGGCAATTCACAGACAATCTCTGTGTACGTACAGTTGTGGAACTCAGTATTAATCTCCATTTGTTGCAAAAGAAGCTTCTTAGTGAGTGGTGACTGGCATACTTGTCTGTAAAAGGATCCATATTTTGCACATACTAAGAAATTGCATTTGTCTATGGATGTAGCAGCCTTGGGTTTTTCCTCTGAAATCTATGACCTTTCAAGCCATGTACATTTTGCTCTGTTTACAGTACCACACATGAGCTCCCTCCATCGAGTAGACTTTAAGTCCAATTAGGTAGCTGTTGATAACCCCCAAGATAAAAGTGCCAGTACTGCCCCAATATAGTTTGATGTGCTAGTCACTGTTGTGATTATTAGGCCTAAAAGCTGGGGTTGGTCCACTGATTGACGTTCTACCTTAGCGGCTTGAGTGATGCTCTCCAAATCTATGAGAGCTAGCTTTAGGGGATCAGTGTCCAAAGTCTGTCCTGTCTTCAGCGACAGGGTCTTACCTTCAAGTTCCTGGAGGCAGTCAAGGACTGGGGCATAGCCTGTGTAATTTGGGAGGCTCTTGGACTACCCTGCTCAATAACTCAAAGGGAGGTTTCTCCTGTTTGGCACTGTTCCTTGTTACATAGCTTTCAGCTATGCACATAGACTCAGGTAGAGATATTGTATGTGTAATTTGTCAGTAAATTTTTGGACGAATACAATTCCCTTTGGTTTTTTACACTAGCTAAGCATTATTTAACTTTGCTCTCCCTCTCGCTGTCTAACCTTCCCTCCATGCCCTCCCCTATTAAACTATCCTAATTTTCTCCATTTCTCCCTTGATAATATCTGCCTCCTACTGTTTTTCTCTCAGATTCTTTCTTTTCCTTTACCTCCCTAGTTCTGTTCCATTTTCCTGGCTCCTGCAGTTACATCAGGATATATACTCATATATAAGGATTTGGTGCTAGGATCCACAAATGAGGGAGAATACATGTGATTTGTTTTTCCGAATCTGTGTCCACTTAGTATAATAGTTTTTAGTTCCAAACATTTACCTGCAAATTTCATAATTTTGTCTTTCCTTACTGCTGAGTAGAACTTCATTGTGTAAATGTACCATATTTTCATTATCCATTCATCAGTCAAGGGACATTTAAGTTGTTTCCATTTCTTTGCTATTGTGAAAAGAGCAGCAACAAACATGGATGTACAGGTATTTCTACAGCACAATGAGTCCTTTGGGCATGTGC